TTAGCAGATCTGGAAGCAGAGTTTAACGTTTTAGACGAGCACAGATTACTGACCAAGGGTTCCAAGTGCGATTTCTTCCAGGATAGGTTAGAATTCTTGGGGCACGTTATTTCGGAGGCTGGAGTTGAAATCGACCCAAAGAAGCTGGATACGGTAAAAGTGTGGCATCCCCCAACGAACATCACGGAGCTGCAGAGCTTTTTAGGGTTCATTAATTATGTGCGTCGGTTTGTCCCCGATATGGCACGGTTAACTGCCCCACTCACAGATTTACTGCGGAAGGGGGTCGCTTTTACGTGGGGGGAGAAAGAGCATGCTGCCTTCTCTGCCCTGAAAACTGTTCTCTGTTCACCGCCCGTCCTGCGCATCGCCGACCCACACCGCCCATTCGAAGTAGTTACCGACGCAATCGATATCGCCATCGGAGCCGTACTGCTACAGGATTTCGGCAATGGCCTACAGCGTATCGCATACGAGTCACGAAAACTGCATCCGCCCGAGAAAAATTACCCGATACACGACCGCGAAATGCTTGCGATCTTGCACGCGTTCAAAGTATGGCGCTGTAACTTGACTGGCGCGGACGTGACAGTACAGACAAACCATAAATCACTACAGTACCTTCGCGCACAGCCACACCTCAACCCGCGACAGATTTGCTGGCTCGACTTCCTCGAGTCCAATTTTCACTACACGGTCACCTACAAAAAGGGAGCCTCGAACATCGCCGACGCACTGACCCGCCCCACTGCCCAGATCCACGCGATACTACTCGCCCAGACAAGCCCGCTACTGGCAGGCCTATTCACCCACGGGTACCAAACGGATCCATTCTTCACAGGAGGAAATTCGCAACAGTTCGCAGCAGCAAGGGGAGTCTATTACGTAAAAACTGGGACTGACCGCATTTGGGTGCCTGGGTATACATGTGAAGAAATGAGGAATGAAGAAGAGAGGGTTTCACTAGCAGCAATAAGGATACATATAGCAAACCCTAGATGGGTTGTACTCGCTATAGAGCACCCCACTACACGCTAGAGAATAACATTCTGACACACCCCCATAGCCAAAGTGGGGTGTAATCAGTACAATGAGCAAGCACGTATAGAGCAAGAGTTCACAAAGGTAAGCAAAGCTAGAGCTAATCACAGAGGGCAAGTGAGGAGGAGGAGGCGAGTCTGTAAGAGGAGAGGAGATAGGAGGCGACGGCTGAAGCTGCACACACACGGGCAACAGGAGTCACACTGGCACAGCGGCTACCGGAACAGCGCTCCGGACTACTGGAGTAACTGGCTCCGCGGCTAAGACTAGCGGCAGACGAGCAACGGACCTACGGGCGACTAGCACAGCTGGCTACGACTGGGCTACCGGAGCAGCGCCCCGGACTACTTGTGCTGCTGACGACATGTCGACAACCTCCGTTCAACCAACCTCCTCCAGCTGCCCCACACCTCTTGACACACACCCCCTGCTCAAACCCTAGTTCCACTCCCATAGCACCCCCCTTACACCCTAAACCGCAGGCTCATACACATCCATCTCCCTCAAAACCCTAGCTCCACTCCCACAGCACCCCCCTTAAACCCCAAACCCCGGGCTCCCACACATCCACCCCCCTCAGCGACAGCTGCAGCAGTGGGAGACGAAGGAGGAGGAGGAGCAGGGGAGACCACACACCCATCACCCCCTACTCGCCACCCCCAGACCCTAACACAGGGCAGGGCGGGACGGTGGGTAGGGAGGTTAAGGGGGGGGGGGGGGGGGGTGGGGGGGGCGAAGCGCGGTCTCCCAGGGCGCCAAAACAGGCGGCAGAAGGGGCGACGCTCGCCCCCCCCCCCAGGGCGGCCCCCAAAGGAGCCGCGACGGGCGACGGGAAAAGGGGGGGGGGGGGGGGGGCGGTGCACGTGCCCCCGGTGCGCCGCGGCTGGCGACGGGGCATGGCCCGAGCGGGGCCGGGGCCGCAAGTGGCGGCGACGGGGCCGTTGGAGGTGGCGACGGGGCCGCTGGCGGCGACGACGGGGCCGCTGGCGGCGGCGACGGGGCCGATAGGAGCGGCGACAGGGCCACTAGGGTCGGCGACGGGGCCGATAGGAGCGACGACGGGGCCGCTAGGGTCGGCGACGGGGCCGCTGGCGGCGTCGACGGGGCCGACAGGGGCGGCGACGGGGCCGCGAAGGGGGCGCGAGGGGCCTGGAAGGGCGGCGACGGGCCGTGAAAGGGGCGGCGACGGGGCCGCGAAGGGGCCGCGAGGGGCCTGGAAGGGCGGCAACGGGGCCGCGAAGGGGCCGCGAGGGGCCTGGAAGGGCGGCAACGGGGCCGCTAAGAGTGGCGCGAGGGGCACGCCACGGGGCGTGCCGAACACAGAGTAGCAGCGGAAGCAGCTAGGTGGGCCCACAGGCCAAGAGCGTAGATGCTCTGATACCATGTGAAGAAATGAGGAATGAAGAAGAGAGGGTTTCACTAGCAGCAATGAGGATACATATATCAAACCCTAGATGGGTTGTACTCGCTATAGAGCACCCCACTACAGGCTAGAGAATAACATTCTGACAATACACTGCTACGGGAATTACTGTTACAGGAGGCACACGACGGAGTTACCTCGGGGCATTTCGGAGTAGAAAAAACACGGCAGCAGCTACAGCGGTATTATTACTGGCCCGAAATGTTGACCGACTTACAACGACACGTGGCATCGTGTCCCACTTGTCAACTCATGAAATCATCACGACAACGGCCGGCGGGACAGTTGCAGCCGATACCACCCCCAGAGCGTGCTTGGCAGCAGGTGAGGATGGACTAAGTCACGGGGTTACCAGCCGGGGCGAGTGGGAACGACACGATCCTGGTCGTCGTCGATCGACTGACAAAAATGGCACATTTCGCAGCCTGCAAAAAATCAATCACAGCCGAAGAAACAACACGCCTCTTCATCTCCACTTTCGTTCGACTGCACGGGATACCAGCCGCGATCATCAGCGACCGCGACACGAAATTCACCAGCAACTTCTGGCGGAACCTGTGGCAGCAGTTCGGCACGCGACTGCAATTCAGTTCATCATACCACCCCAAAACCGACGGACAGACAGAACGGACAAATCAGACCATGGAACACCTCATCAGGGCCACGTGTGACGATCCGACCACGTAGGAACAACAACTGCCACTAATCGAATTCGCGTACAACAACTCGCCATCCGCCACGACCCAACAGTCACCATTTGACCTAAACTACGGACAAGACCCGATAGTACCCATGACCCCGAATCCCGACAACCCAGTACCACGAGCACAACAGTTCGCCGAAATGTTACAAACAGCACGGACCCGGGCAGCAGACACAAAAAAAAAAATCGAACATCATCGCTAAACGCAACGCCGACCGCCACCGCAGATCTGTCACTTACCAACCAGACGACTTAGTTTTACTTGACACTCAGAATCTCCGACTGCCCATCACCCCGAAACTCCGCCCCCGATACTGCGGGCCATTTCGCATAAGCCACATGCTTACACCTGTCACCGCCCACCTACTCCTCCCTGCTGACTGGTACGTCAGCCCTTCATTCCACGTCAGCCTGCTTCGCCCTTACGTCCCGTCCACGAGCCAACTGCTGTCAGAGGTCCACTGGTGATCCCCGATTGATCCTAGGGAAGGGCTACAGGCTCGTTGTCCTGGGGGGTTATGGGCGCACTGACCCGCTACTTAACAAGCCCTTTTATCCCAATGGTCTAGTGGTTGGGATTCTGACATGGTATCAGAGCGAAGGTCTCGGGTTCGAATCCCAGTGTGTGCACTTCGGGCATCCCAGTGCGGGGGGGTGTCAGAGGTCCACTGGTGATCCCCGATTGATCCTAGGGAAGGGCTACAGGCTCGTTGTCCTGGGGGGTTATGGGCGCACTGACCGGCTACTTAACAAGCCCTTTTATCCCAATGGTCTAGTGGTTGGGATTCTGACAACTGCCACGCAATCGCCCAGCCAGCATGACCAGACCACCATCTGAACCAATCATCACCCCCGAGAAAATCCTGAGTCACAGACTTCGCGACCCTCGAGGAGCCCCAAGGATCGAGTTCTTACCCCGCTGGAAGGACCGTACACCCACCGAAGACAATTGGGTTCCCCTGGACAGAATCGAAAATCACCCCGTCCTCACCAAGTATCTGCGCAGCCGAAATTTCAGGGATGTACATGCACTTTCGTAAGGAGGACCTCCTTAAGGGGGGGGGTAGTGTAAGGAAAATTATTTTTCCTTACTTCGCATCCCTGCTCAACGCGTACACCCCTGTAGCACCACAGTTAGCACCGTTACCACTCGCAACCCTCGCATCGACAATCCGCCCGCCACCTTCGCACGGCGCATCTCGACCTCACGGCTCGGCGAGTAACCCGCGCTCCGGGCCTCCGCTTCGACATTTTTCCCAACCTCAGTCCCAGGCCCGTCGCGCGACAACCACAGTCCATTACCGTTACCATTGTAGTTTCGCTATATATTCTTCGCTCATGCCTCCGCTTATTGTACTCTTGCTTCGATAGTGCAACTCTCGTTCGTTCACTCAATTGCACTCGTAACATCCTACCTTATCACTGGCAACATATCACCCAGAATCACAACATGGGCATTTGATTAATCCTGAACAAAAGCAAGCCAAAAAAGAAATCATGCCTTCTGCCTTGTGCTTCCAGCCCACACCCAATCACCCACCCTTCAACATAACTCAACCAAGTGTGTAGTGCCCACACAATATAAACCCTATGATCACGCCCCTTCTACTTCTCTACTCTTCTCCTAACCCCCCACCTCGCCTCCCACTTCTTCCGCCATGCAGCGCATCGCATGACTGTCGTAGTTAGTGCAGCCATGCAAGACTGTGGCAGGGCAGGGCCGCATCCTGCCTACCACACCACCGCCCCACCATCGCAACATGTCTTTCTTCCCGTTTCATCCCCGGCTGGCTGTCAGCTTGACGTTGACCCCTCCCCTCCAGCCGCCCATCCTCAGTTCGCCGGCGGTGTTGCAAACGCCACACGGCGCACCGACACTTCACCACCATCCCCACCGGCCGCCTCCGCACCACCCTCCCCACTCCCACTCTCCTTCTTCCTCCCGCCCTTCCCCGACTTCCCCCCCTTCCTCCCACCCTTCCTCCCGCTCCTCCCTCCCCCCACGTTCTCCCCGTGAATACTCGCAACAGTGGTCCGCGCAGCGTCCCGGCCAAACGCCTCCATATCGACCACCATAGGCGCGGGCTCATAGTGCCGCAGCCACGTGTCCTGGCTCGCCTTGATCGCCAGAATGTAATAAGCAACCATGAGAACGGCGGAGAACGCAGCAAACACAGCTGCAGAGATGAAGACGGCCTCATTGACGGTGCTGCAGTACATGATGGTGTTGATGTCGGTGGAGTACGGTACAGAGGAGATGTGGAACGAGTTCTCCACGGCCGCTGCGATCAGGAGCCCTTCGGATGCAAGGAAGAAGAGGCTGCAGGGAGGGTGGGATGGGAGGGCGTGCGGATGTAGATGTGTGGCCGTGAGGGGGAATGGGATGATGGGAAAAGGCGGAGACGGGGGAAGAGCGCGGGGGGGAGGCTGGTTGGAAGGGGAAAAGAGACATGCGATTGAGAGGGAGAAGGGCGGCCGAGGAGGGGGGCAGGAGTGGATGCATGCTGGGATGGGGAGTGATGAGAGGTAGGGATGCAAGAAAGCCACGAGGAAGGAGATAGACAGGCAGCGTGGGGAAACCCAACTTCGGCAATAGAAGAAGGAGAGGACGGGAGCTGACTGGAACAGGAAAGGGAGAAGGGGGAAGTGAAATGCATTGGGTGGGTGGGTGGGAAGGGTACTCCTGCAAGCGCATTTGGGTAAGAGCACAAGGGCGCGCTCATATGGACGGGCAGCAAGCAGCAGCCAGAGGTCCAATGATTGGCGCGAATCCCCTTCTTCCCATCCCCATCCCCCAAACCCTCCACAAAGCATCCTCAAACCACCCGTCCTCCCAGCAATCCCCCTTCTCCCCTCCCCCTCCACCTCCCCCCGCGACTGACATGTTGAACACCAGCAGGGCGAGCTGCAGGTGGGAGCGGCGGCCCACAGTGGGTGCCATCTCCCCGCGCCCCACGTGGCGTGTGAACAGCGGCCGAGCCCACGTGAACCCGCCCGTCAGCAGAGTGAACGCCTGGGGTGGAGCGCGGACGAGGAGACGGGGAGAGAATGGATTTGGGGGGGGTTGGGAAGGGGGAAGAGGGGGTGGGAAAGGGGGGGAGCGAGGGGGGAGAGGGGGTGAGGGGGGGTCGGTGGTTTGGGCAAGGATGCCTCTTTTCTTGCTTCATTCTCTTTTTTGGGAAGGGCTGCCGCGCGCGTGGGCAGTGTAATGCAACGCAACGCAACGTGCGGGACGGTAAGGGTAGGGAAGGGAAAGGACTTGCCTCGGTGAAGAGCAGAACGAAGATGGCGGCAACGGCGAGCCACGTGGCGACGGAGGGAGGGTAGCTGCAGTACAGCGCGCCCCAGGGATTTGTTAGAATCGAATACGTCTGCACGCGACGGGCGACGGGGAACGGCAGAAGGGAGAAGAAGGGGGGGGGACGGCAGAAGGGAGAAGACGGGGGGGGGACGGCAGAAGGGAGAAGACGGGGGGGGGACGGCAGAAGGAAGAAGACGGGGGAGGGAGACGGGGAAAATGGGAGAGAGAGGGGGAAGGAGGAGGGGGGATGGGGAGGGACGGGGGTTGTTTGGAGAAGTGATGGATGCGACGGGATGGTGCGGAACGGCATTTGCGATATGCGGCTCGATGAAGAAATAGCGGCGTGCAGGAAGGTCGGCATGAGTGTTGTGTGGTGGAATGCGGGGGGAGGAGAGGGGAGAGAACGGGCGGGACGATGGTGAGAGGTAGTCGGGAAGAATGGAGGGTTATGCGGCGAGGAGCGAACGCGAAGAGCGACCGATGCGTGATGGAGACGGTGCCACGGACGGAATGGACGGACGGACGGACGGACGGACGGACGGTACGAGAAGCAGTTGAAATGGGAGGGAGAGAAAGAGAGGCGAAACAGAGCACGGGAGAGAGGAAGAATGCAAGCGGCATCCAGCGCGTGTTGTTATGGCGATGGGTCACTAGTCATGAAGTTCGAATCGTATTAAAAAAAAAGAAAAAAAGAAAGCGCTTAGTAAATGAAGCTGGAGGTCGATGGCATTTCGCTATTCCTAACCTCTTTCATCGGCCAATGCAACGGCGCGCGTACCGATATCCGTGTGAACTGCGCGGCGAGGCTGAGCGCGAAGGCTGAGGTTCCGCCGAGGGCGATAATGGCGAGGGCGGCGCGGTGCATGTGCGGCTCCGATATGAACGGCACGTCTTCCATAACCACCACAGCCGAATCCTTGGGAACGCCGATGCCGTCACCGCCACTGCTGACGTCCATAGTCATCTCGCTTCGTTACAAGCGCCGTGGTAAGGACTGCTTATGAGGAGGACACTGGACACAGTGGGGGTGGTTTGGCCTGGTTGTGCGAGTGATGCGTTCGAGACCGTGTGATATGAAGGTCCTAATTTTCTGCGACTGTACGGATTCTCGACGGGTTACTTTCCTCGTACGTTTTCGTCGAGTCTACCAAGCATATTGCACTGCACCAGCGAAAGGTGCTTGGTGATGGAATTGATCGAATTGGCGTCTTCAAAACGGTTTGATCCGGTTCCGTGAATCAGCATATCAATGGACTCATTACCCTCTGATGATATACTGGATGCTAGTTGTCTGGACTGGAAAATATAAATTGATCATGTGATACTTGGCTCAGAGAGAAGGGAGGATCAGGGCAAAAAATACCAGGTTTAGGAGTTACCCTGGTCCAGGTATCATAAAATCTTAAATTACCTTCGGACGGTCTAAGTTTGTTTTCCCTTTTTTTAGTAAACCTGCAACCTCACCCTCCGAAAGTAACGCGGGTAACTAGCTGAACAACTTTATAATACCGCTATGGTAAGAGGATTTTAATTTATCACTTCAACAACAAATAGTGTTTCAAATTACCCTATCTGCAAGGGTTGATGCCTGCCTGACACCTTGATTCATGGCCATCAGCCAATTTCAGACCCTGGGAAGGATGGACGTCAAGGAGGGACATGAAGGTGGGTAGACATACTACGTCTATGTGCTCATCTGATTTGTTAGACCAGTCATTTACTAGCATCTGAATATATAGATTTTAGAAGTTGATTTTCCACATGTCTCATACCTGTATAAATTCGTCCGAACATGCATGTACAAAAGGATTTTCTTGCCTTGCTCATTGTTGGGCTGAGAAGCCCTAGGATCTTTGTAGAGTTTAAGGACTGAGTAGGATTGTAATAGCGGAAGCGTTGTAATACAGAGTGGTTGAACCACCTTGCACTAGTATGTGAGAGCAAAGTAAGTTGGATTTAACAAGCAAATACAAGGTTTATATAAGAGTACAAGGAATACGAATAGATAGATTTAAACCGTTTTACTGTTGCGATTCGATACAGTGCGACTCGGGCAACTGCTCAATGTCGAGTCAGTTGTGTGTCCTTGCTATCGCGCTGTATTGGTCAAGTCAAAGGTCGCTGACCTTTGACCTTCGCGTAACCTCCAAGCGGTTACCCCAACCTCCGAGGGTTGACTCGTGATGCTTCGATTTGGACTGCTTCGCTAGTGTCCTGAGTTTCGACACGACAGAGGCGCCTTAAGACTTATTGTTCCCAACACTCCCCTTCGCTTCTGGAGTGTCGCTGATGGTGACGTGGCCTTGTCCAGTCAGCAGCATGCAGTACTCGAACTTCTGTTTTCCGAGTTTCTTTGTCAAATAATCGGCTGCCATCTCGGACGTGGGACAGTAGGATAACTCGAGTCTTCCTTTCTCAATCTCGTCTTTCACGAAGAAGTATCGCAGAGCGATATGCTTCGTTCTGTTCGCGAATCCGTTTTTGTTGGCGATGCGAATTGCAGATTGGTTGTCGCAGTGTAGGGTGAAGCTGGGTAACTCAGCTAACTTTGCTTCTTCCAGCAGTTCGCGAAGGTAGAGTCCTTCCTTGGTGGCTGAGCAGAGGGCGATATATTCTGCTTCAGCTGAAGAGAGAGCGATTAGTTCCTGCTTACTCGACTGCCAGGAGATAGGTCCGATAGGCTCGAGACGATAGACGTAGCCGGTGCGAGAGCGCCTGTTATCTGGATCGACGGCATGATCGGCATCGACATAACCGATTAGTTTCGTTGACGCAGCTTCTTTCTTGTAGTAAGTCAGGCCGATCGTCGATGTGCTCACGAGATAGTGCAGTGCGCGATCGAGTTCTGACATGTGATCTGCTTCAGGCCTCTTGAGGTAGGTAGCGAGCTGGCTAGCGGAGTAGGACAGGTCTGGGCGACAGGTGACGGCTGCGAAGAGCAGACAGCCCAATTTTCGCTGGTAGTCGCGTATTCCGGCGGTTTTTAGTAGGGTGGAGTTTCCTTGGCCGTTTCCTGCCGTGTAGCGGTATGGCGTGGCGATAGCGGTAGGGGTGAGCGAGAAGCGCTTGGCGATCGTGTCGGCGTATTTCTCGGCGCTTAGATAGATTGCGTTTTCTTCTTCGCGGATGTTGAGTCCAAGGTACTGCGTGACGGTAGAAGAAACCGTGAGCGTGAGATCTTTCTGCAGCTCCCCTTCGAACCAGGTGGTGACGTCGTCGGTGGAGCCGATGTAGAGGAGATCGTCGACGTAGACGATGAGTAGGATGTAGTTGGCGCCTTTAGTGAGTCGGTACATGCCCTGGTCATGGGGCAGTTGGCGGAATCCGATGCGGATGAGGCGGGTGTGCAGGTGCTGTTGCCACAGCCGTGGGGCCTGCTTGATTCCGTAGAGGGACTTTAGCAGTTGGCAGACTTGATTGGGTTCCCCGTGGGTACCGTGAGGGAGCTCGACGAAGATGTCTGCGTCGACGGGTGCATAGAGGAATGCGTTGGCGACATCGATTTGTCGCAGCTTCTTCTTCTTCATGGCGGCGACGGCGAGAAGAATGCGGAGAGAGGTATGTCGACTAACTGGGGCGAAGGTCTCGGTGAAGTCTCGTCCTTGTTCCTGGTCGAATCCACGCACGACCCAGCGTGCTTTGAACTTCTCGATTGTGCCGTCAGCTTTCGTCTTGATGCGGAAGACCCATTTCCCGGTGAGAATGGTCTTGTTCCGTGTCACGCTTGCGGGAACGACCTTCCAGGTGTTGCGTTCCTCCAGTGCTTTTAATTCTCTGTCCATGGCTTCACGCCATTTTTCCCTGTGTTCCCCCCCCAGAGCCTGCTGAACTGTCGCAGGCTCTTTAGGAAGAGTGTTGCCGGCGGTCCCGTGGACTGCGGTGACGAGGCCAAGGATTTGTAGCCCAGTCTGTGAGTATCGAGGGAGTTCTGGATCCTCGGGATAAGCTGCTTCGTCTCCCGCTTCTGGGTCGGGGATGAAATTTGGCCCTATCCTTTCTACTTCGTTGGTGTTGACTGTCGCAGGTGTTACGTAACCGTTGTCGGCGAAGTGGTAGAAGACTTCGGCGTTGTTACTGTCGCGAGGATTATCTTCATCCATGGGCACATCGACGGAGCAGTACGGGAGAGGTCCGGCTTCCTCCGATGCGTTGTCGACGTTCTGTTCATCCCAGTCTGCTTCGTCCGCTGCTGAGGCGAAGGCTCGGTCACCACGAAAGCCACCTGTGGGGTCCCGATTCTCGTGCAAGTTGGCGAGGTACGTCTGAAGGGTGAGTCGTTCGTAGAAGATCACATCACGTGCTGCTACTGTTTCTTTTGTGTGGACGTCGAAGATTCTCCACGCGTTGTAATTTTTCTTGATGCCGAGGTGTAGTCCCCACTGTGCCCGTTGCGAAAATCTTCCCGCTCGTGCTTCTGGGGGTCGGTACTGTACCATGCACCCAAATACTCGTAACATTTTTGTGCTGCCCTGCTTTCCTGTCCACAGCAGATGCGGTGATGCGTTGTTCGGGAGTGACGACGACGAAAGCAAGTTGTGCAGCATGACAGCATGGTCCATTGCTGCTGGCCACTGGTGGTTGGGTAGCCGCATGCCACGTAGTAGTTTGCGCATGCTGTTCTGCAGGGTCCTGTTCATTCTTTCTGCAACACCCTGCTGCTGATGTGCGTAGGGAAGGGAGAGGAGTTGCTTGATCCCCCTTTCCGCCAGGTACTGCTTGAAGCGCTGAGAGGTGTATTCGCCACCTACGTCTGACTGGAAGCTTTTCAGCTGCGTTCCTGATTCCCTTTCTGCTACCGGTAGCCAAGCGGCAAATGCTGCGAGTGCCATGTCGCGGCTGGGTAGGTTGCGATGCCAGACGTATCGAGTGGCGGCGTCGATGAAGGTAATCGTGTAATTATAGGTTACTTGGCCTGGTTCTCGATTGTAGAGGATGTCGCTGTAGACTTTTTCGAGTGGTGCGTATGCAGGTGCGCTCGGGTTGTGGTGAGAAGAAAAAGGTCGATGTGGTAAGTCGGCCTCGGGGCAGATGAGGCAAGTCCCCCGTGCACGTTGAAGTTCTCTGCCGTCGAGTAGTAGTAGCGAGTCTTTGTCTAGCACTCCTGCTCGTATCGTATTATTTAACACCGTGTTACTTGGATGTCCTGTGCGTGCGTGCCAGATGTCTTCGGAGGCGCGGTGTCCGGGTGAACGTTGATATGCGTCGGAGTTGGAGTAGAAGCTGGCGACGAAGTTGGCGCTGCGGTGGACTTCTCGTTGAGTCGGGTTCAGCTGTTGTGCGGGTGTTGGTGGTGTTTCGTCGACGATGACCGGTGTCGTTGTTCCTGCTGCTGCCGATGTTGCTGCTGCTGCCGATGTTATCTCTGCTGCTGCCGATGTTGTCTCTGCTGCTGCCGATGTTGTCTCTGCTGCTGTCGATTGTTGAATTGTTGCTAATGCTCGTGTTCGCTCTGCTTCAGGGATGGTGTGTGAGTACCAGAAGCCTCCTGGACTGAAATCAGGATCGAGGTCCGGAGGGTGTGTCCAGTCGGTAAAGTTGACGATGGCGTCGCTGTCTGCAGTGCCCAGGTCGGGGACGAAGTCAAGAACGAAGACGTTATTCTTCAACACTGCTTTCCCGATGTAGAGGCCGCCCCTCCCGTGGTATAACTTAAATTCCTGGGTGGTGCTGTCGGCTTCCAAGTGAATCCCCTTCGCCATCAGCTGGCTAACACTCAGTAAGTTGTAACCGAGTCCTTCTGCGATGAGTACTTTTGACATGTGTAGTATAACGTTGGTCTCTCTTGATTGAAGCTGAACGACTCCTTGTCGTCTTGTGCGCAGGTTCTGGTTGTTGGCGACCGTGATGACTACTTCTCGCTGGGAGTCGATGTTCGCGTTGTACGAAGCGCCCGGAGGAGCACATGTGTTGTCCGCAGCAACTATCCAAGAACCAAGTGTCTTGGCCGGACGGTTCGCT